CAGCCAAAAGCGTCAGTTTTCTAGAGCCTGCAATTCACAGGATGGTCAGCAGCCTAAGCGCATCTGCAACAGGGGAGCCTGCTGGGGGGGCAGATTCTCTAAAGCTACATACAGCCCCGCCCCCCCCAGTACAGTCGCATTATGAGGAGCTCCCCAGGAACTCAAGGGCACTGAAGAGTCTCAGAGGCTGCTCGGGCCTCCTCCCTACCCTTCCCCATCACGTCTAATTCCAGGACGATGATTTTCTAAACAAAAACAAGTACTAAGGCCTCAGATAAAAAAAGTTTATGAATCCCAGCGGCTTGGGAGGTTGAGGCAGGAGGATCATGAGTTCAAAGCCAGCCTCAGCAAAGGCAAGGCGCTAAGCAACTCAGTGAGACTCTGTCTCTAAATAAAATAGAAAAAAGGCTGGGGACGTGGCTCAGTGGTTGAGTGCCCCTGAGTTCAATCCCTGGTACCCCTCCCGCCCAACAAAGTTCAATGAGTTGGGCATGTGGAGGCATGGAGGAGGGCGGCTGGAGTCCAGGAGTTCACGGCCCACCTCGCCACACAGCAAAACCCCGTTCCAAAAAAATAAAGAAAAAATTAATAAGATCAAATCAAAGGCCTTGAATCTGAAGTGTATCCCACAGTGCACTCCACTTTATCTACTCACAGGACACGCACCCCACGAAAGGCACGCTGTGCAGGGCCTACCTGACGTCAGCACCACTCACAAGGCACTCTGGATGGAAGACCTGATTCTCCGCTTGGGGTGTGTAAGACCTTCCTGGGGAGCCTGGTGTGTAATGTGACCTCGGCACCTGAATCTATGGGGTGGCACCACTGAGAACCACTTTTAATTAAAAAGAAAGCCTGTCCCGGCTCACGTCAATGATTTGTTAAGCTGTCAGCTCCTCACCACGTTACAGGATGTTTCCTAAATAAATGACTTGCTCCTCATGACGAAGGCCAGAAACCTGTTGGCCCACAGTGAAGGGAGGTCACTAGGAGGAAGGGACCCAAGTCCGGGGGACACTCGCGGAGAAAACCTAGGAAAAGTACGATGACCCTCCACACCATCCAACAGCCCAAGATGGCCGTGAGCTTGACTCCAAGCCAGCGACGTGCAGAGAAGCCACACGGGGACACACCCTCCACGGTGGCACTTCCTAGTCTCACGTGCTGTCTCTGCAGCAATCTGAAAATAACTCCCCAACAGGAAATCTACCCAGGTATCATCTAGACCAGTTCACTGCGGTCCCCACACCACACGATGACTCTACGGTTCCACTGGAGCACAACAGGGAACCTGTGGTGGGTAGTGGACATCAAGAGTCGTCATCACAACTCTGCTGGCGTCCCCCGAGGGCAGCACTGTGGTCCACCAAGCACAGGCTGGCCTGGCCAAGCACAGCTCCCAGGGTTATGACCAAGACGTGGGCAGGCGGGCGGCCCAGGGCTTCCCAGGCGAGCAGCCCTGGATGTGGACCACCATCAGCACCCACCGCAGAGGGCAGCCAGGGGCTGGCGGCTGGAGGAGAGTGCAGGGGACTCTGCGCGACCACCCACCCACACTAAGCAGAACCAACCACAGCAAAGGAAACCAGACTCACGTGAGCGGGATAGTGTTAGTTTTTGATTGTCTTCTGCTTTTCAGAGCCCGGAGTCTGTCACCTTGTGTCACTCCACTGATTTCCTCGTCATCGCTGTACTGTGTAAGTACAAAGACACCAAGCTAACGATGCAGGTCGCATTTATTAACGCAGAAAAGCATAGCAGCCTCTCTCTCTCTCTCTCTCTCTCTCTCTCTCACACACACACACACACACACACACACACACACACACACACACACACGTGAGTTTCTGCTCAACTTTAAAACATTTTTCTCTTTCCAAAATCAAACGAGCCACATATCAAGTTCACAGGCATCAACCCCGATGGCCCTCTGGTGACAGAGCTTACAGACAGTGGAGTGGCACATGGGTTTTCAGTTTGGGAATCATTCTTTATAGAATGTCACCATGCCACTTACGACAGGTGGTACCACAGCCCTCTACGAGTCCTCTCCCAGTTCCCGAATCAGCAGTCGGGAGAGGAGGGAGCGGGTGGGCCAGGGCAGGGAACCACCAGATCATCTAGAGAGCTAAAACCAATTTTTAATTCTGGGGACAACACACAAATTTGTTTTAGCTCTTGTGTGGACAATGTTCCTAGGGAGGGTTATACGTATGAAGAACTATGTGACCATGGCCCCTCGACTGAGAATATGTGCTTTATTATTAATAATAATATGTGCTTTCTGATTTCTAACTAGTTGTCTCCATCGCCCTACAAGGTGCGCAACAGCACATAAAGCGCCGACAATAGCACACTGAGGATGGTGCTGAGGACAGTGCTGGGGACCGCTCAGTTACCGGTTCAGGTTCCTGCTTGTCCCGATTCTCCACACCATTTATTGAAATGTCATCAACACCCGAGAGGAGTCTGGAGAAGGCAGCCGCTGTCCGATGTGCTCCGTTCTCCTGCCCCCTTAACTTTTGCCGAAAGTAGTCCCCTTCTATCCAGAGGCTGGCTTGTTTCCTAGAGCATGCAAGCAACAACAAAACACAGCTTTCCAGAAGGATCCATGAGTGACACTTTCCGACCAGACTGCCCCTACTAGAAACGCACTCCCCAGTCTCCAGACATGTGTGTCCCCGAGCAATGACAAGAGCTTCCCGTCTACTTACATGACCAAGAACTGCTGCTGGGGCCCAATCACAGAGCCGGGTCTACAGATGCGGACCCAGGCGATGGTCTCGGCGGCTGTCATCCTGTAGTGCTTCATGATGTAGCAGGCTATCAGAGTGCCTGTGCGACCGAGGCCGGCTAGGAAAACAAACCAGCGGATGAAACCTCGTCTTGCAAACTCTAAAATTTTCTGGGCAGGTGAAAAATAATTTTAAGACTTCCCATGATCCTGCTTATCTCAACACTGGGTCTCAGGGCTGGTTATACACTGGAACCTCAGGAGGCTTTAAAGACTGATGCTGGACAGAGTTTCTAAAATCCCCCCCATAACTTGAGGTGTAGCTCAGACTGAGAGTCGCTGGATTCTCAAGCAGGGCCCTGAATCTTACCCAAGTCTTGCCCTTACAATCGCATCCAATTAGGACCTGCAAGCACTCTGCCGATGGGCTACAGCCCCAGCCCTACTGCAACTGCCCTCTTTTCCTTGTGTCCAGACGATAGACATTGCACCCTGAGATGGCTAATGTCATGTGCCGTGTCTGCTGGGAAGGAGTGCTTGGGTGAATTTAACATCTAAATGCAGAATTTTCAGGGAGCACACGCATAATGTGGGTGGGCTTCATCCAATCAGCTGAAGAAATGAATGGAACAGAAAGACCCGTGTCCCAGAGAAGTCTCCTGCCAGCTGCATCTGCACTTCACCCAAGGGCCTAATCACAGTGGCTGCCAGTCCACACTGCAGATTTGGGATTCACGAGACTCCATGTTCACATGAGCCAATTCCTTCTCACACACATACACACACCCCTATTGCTTCTGTTCCCTAGAAGATCCTAATTCTTACGTGGATCAGAAAAGGTATGCTGCTGTAACAAATACACCAGCATGCAGAAGTGGCTTTAAGGTCAGATTTACAGGGGCCTGAAGAGTTTTGAGGCATGTTAGAAAAAGCTGTGGACTGGGGTGTGGCTGTGCGGAAGATGCTTCCCTAGCACGGGCAAGGCCTTTAGCTCATTTGCCAATACTGCTCAGAGGAGGAGGAAACAAAAGCAGCCCAGGTAGCCCTGAAAGGACTGTTGCTAGGAATACGGATGCTGAGGGTGATGCCGGGCCACCTCAGGTGGAATGCGGGATGCACTACTGCAAACTGGAGGGAAGTCGTGATTAAGTGGCAAATCAGCAGCACACACTCCGTGTTTTGCGGAAGGCAGTGTTTGTGAATGAGAACCCTGGAGATTTAGTAGAAATCGGTGAAAGAAGTGAAAAGGTTCAGCTTGGCTTCTCCTTGATGGCTAGTTGAGTGCAAAAAGATGGGTGAAGAGGACTTGGTAAGCAACAAGGAACCAGACACTAGAGGTTCAGAAATTCTCAGGCTAGTCATACTGACGGGAGAGGAAAGAAAGAGAAAAACCACCCCAATAAGTTCTAGAGAGAGCATGGTGGGGCTGGGGCTGGGGCTGAATGGTGGCGCACCTGCCTAGCATGTGTGAGGAACTGGGTTCGATTCTCAGCACCGCATGTAAATAAATGAATGAAATAAAGGTTCATCAACATCTAAAAAATATAAATAAAAAAAATCCAATGGTGTTTGCTTTGCTAGTTCTGGACTTGCTTGGGGGCCTCTCCTGACCTCTCCCTTCTGCAAGAGGAGTGTCCACCCTAGACTTCCTCGGCCACCGCGTCGTGGAAGCACACGGCTTGCTTGATTTCACAGGCTCACAGCTGCAGGAGACCTGCCGCAGGGAGGACCTCACCTCCAGGGTCTCTCGAACCTGATTTAGAGGATGGGCTAAGCAGTCGCTCTACGACCAAGCTACCTCCCAGCCCCAGATACATTGTGGACTTGGAGTAGGTGTTCAAATGGACGAAGACAGGGGCTGCTGCGACTCAGTGAGTGAAGGCCACAAAGACATGGATTTTGAGGGGCCAGAAAGCAGAATCATGGGACCTGAACTCACCACTACCTCAGTGTACGTGGCCTTAACTGCTCAAGTGATCGTATTTGGAGAGAAATAAGGTTGAGCGAGGCTGGAAGGGAGGGGCCTTTCCTTGTAAGAAGAGACCCAAGAAGCCCTGAGAAAGCTCAGGGAAGACAGTACTCAGCAAGTCAAGGACAGAAACTGTGCCAGAGCCCAACCCTGCGGGCACCACCACCTCAGGCTGCCTGGGGTCACAGGCCTCCAAAGCGAGGGGAAAATAAGGTCTGTTACTTGAGACACCCAGGTGTGGCGCTCTGTCCCAGCAGCCCACAAGACAGACATGCTTCCTAATGCATCTCCGCTTCCCGCCTCCTAGGGTCTTCATCCAGCGCTCCTGCGTCAGATCCTCTTCGGGTTCTAACTAGACCTCAGCCAGGGCCCTCCACCGCGTCAGGAATGGCCCTGCAGGGTGGCTGATCCTGTGCCTTGTGGGAAGTCTAGCAACTCCCTGATGTCTACCCGCGAGACAGAACAAGCACCTCTTGCCAACTTGTGAACACTAAGAAACAGACGTCTCTGTACCGTTGCCAAATGTTCCCTGGGGAAGGCAAGAGTGCCCTGGCTGAGAATAAGCTCGACTGCACCGTATAATGTAAAAACGAAATGACCAGTGTTGGATTGTGTCTGCTTGAGTGGCTTTTTAAGGTACAGCTAAAACACTTACCATAAAATTTACCAATCTTTTTTTCCATGTATCATTTTCCTGATTTCATTTAATTATCTATATTCTCCTTGAACCTACTGACCATTTTTAAGACAATTGCTTGAGTCGAACAGGTAATTCAGACACCAATATTTCCTTAGAATGTTTTTTTTCTTTTTTCTTTTTTATTATACCAGGGATTGGACTGGGGAGCACTTACCTACTGAGCCAACCCCAGCTCTTTTGGTATTTTTATTTAGAGACAAGGTCTCACTAAATTGCTTAAGGCTTGCTAAGTTGCCGAGGCTGGATTTAAACTCATGATCCTCCTACCTCAGCCTCGTGAGCTGTGGAATGACAGGCATGCACCACCCATGCCCAGCCCAAGATGTCTTTTCTGCACTGATGGACATTCATGTGGGCCTGTCCTTCCTTGTGTTAACTTGGAGTATTGTACTGGTCTTTGTACGCTGGCCCACCTTTGTAACCCTGGGATAAACACCACTTCATGGTGGATGATCCCCTCAGTACACTGCTGATTCCGTTTGCTGGCACTTCATTCTGAATTTCTCCATCAATGTTTGCAAAGGCAACTGGTCTAGTCAACTTTTCTCACGTCGGCTTTGTCTGCTCTGGTCTTAAGGCGACTCTGGTCTCACACGAAGACTTAGCAAGCGCTGCCCTGTGGGCCAATTGGCTCGCTGACTCCATCCCATGATCTAGTGGCCTGTTCAGATTTTCTTTCTCATTATGATTCAAGGTTGGTAGGTTCTGTTTCTAGGAATGGGTCCATTACATTTGGATTACCCAGCTTGTCCCAGAATTGTTCAGGGGACTCTCTTATTGTCCTGTTATTCCTATAGAAACCGCAGTAGTGTCCCCCTTCCATTCCTGACGTTCGTGATCTCTGTCCATCAAGCAGCTTAGCAATGTAGCTAAGTTTTAAAGAACCACTCCTGTGTTTGGTTGCATTTTATTTTGTTTTTCCACTGCTTATTTTGCAAACTCTAATGCTTATATTACAATAATTATAGTAATAAGCTGGGCACGGTGGCACACACCTGTAATCCCAGTGACTCAAGAGGCTAAGTCAGGAGGATTCCTAGTTCAAGGCCAGCCTGTGCAACCTAGCAAAACCCTGTATCAACGTAAAAAAATAAAAAAGGCTGGGGATACGGTAGAGCACTTCTGGGATCAACCCCAGGTACAACCCCCCCCCCCAAAAAAAACCACATGCAGTAAAAGCAATTTTACAAGTTATCATAAGTTGCAGTGAGACCAGGCTTTATAACTGTTCGTTATTTACCTTAACCAAAAACATTTATTTTTCCCATGCCTTCAGGTTATTGCCTAGTGTCCTTTCATTTCTGCTTTCTGAAGGATGCTCTCGGGCACTTCTTGTAAAACAAGTCTAGCAGTAACAACTCCCCCCTGCATTTGATTACCTGGGATGTCTCAGTGTCTCCCTCATTTTTTAGGGACTTTTGCAGACTACAGGGAAGCTCTAGGGTCCTGGGCTGACTGGATCTATCAACCCCCTGCCTCTGGCTTCCACGGTTTCTGTTGAGATGGTGAATAACCTGCTGTCTCTCTGGCTGCTTTCAAGATACTTTGTGTCTCCAGCTTTAGGCAAATTGATTACAGTGTGTCTTCATGTGAGCAGCTGAGTCTGTCCTCTCCGAGTGGCTGAGCTCCTTGGATGTCCATTTCATACAGCGGGGCGGCCGGACTGTGTCCCAAGGTCCGCAGACTCTGCTCAGGGCTCTTCCCTGTTTCCTTTCTCTCCCTCGGAACTGATTGTCTCTTCACAGTTCTATTTTCTTCCCACATTTTTTAATTCCTGTGTCACAGCTGTACGTGCTGCTGGGACTTGCTGCTCCACGTTCACACACGCACACAACACAGACACAACAAGTCACTCCTCCGCAGTCCCTTCCCTCCCCTGGGTCCCTTTCCTCTACCGATCTCCTTCGATTCTGGTGAGATACCCCCCACAGTTCTTTTCCTTTTCCTCTTTAGCTTCCGCACGACAGAAAACACACTACCCTTGACCTCATGAGTCCGTCCATCATACTTCTGTTTTTGTAATCATTAACTCTTTACCTGCTTCCCCAAATCTTCTCTGGAATCCCTCCAATAAAATTTTCATTTCGTTTTCATACATTTCATTTCCAGAATTTCTTCCTGGTTTCCTCCTGCTTTCCATATTTTTTTAAGTTGATATGTCCATTTTGTTTATGCATCATTTTCTTGACACGTTCCACATTCTCTTTTTACTCTTTGGCATCGTCTAAAAAAGTGGTTTGAAAATATCTGTCTAGCAAGCCCACGGCTTGTCTTTCTCGGGGACAGTTTCTGTTCACTCATTTTTCCTTTTGAATTGATTACACTTTTCTGCTTTCTTTGACTGCATGAGAATTCTTCACTGGAAATTGAACATCTGGATATTACTATAGTTATAACTACAAATACAGTGGTTAACTCTGGAGTTCAGAGTTTGCTGGGTTTTTCCCTAATGTTGGATTTTTCTTAACAATAATATATCCCTTGTCTTATTAATAACTAATGAGAAGACTTCAGTACTTCCTAGCATATTTATATGATGCATTATCCCACAGCCATTCATTTGGAAAACATTATGCACCAGGCACTGTTGTAAGTGCGGAAAACACAGAGGCCTGTGTAGTCTCCATGAAGACCACCACCTCTCCTGAGAATCTGCCGTACTCACCGGCGTTCCCAGAACTGGCCATACCACAGGCACACAATGGGTATCTGGCAAATAGATGAGTGCCTTTCATTGTAAACTCACTTATAAAAATACTTTACTAGACTTTTCACATAGATCCAGGGTTTTGAAAGCCTTGCTTTAAAAATGTAGGCCTCTCCATGTGTCCTGGCATGGAACCGAGCGCTCACGTGCACGCCACCCTCACCACCCTCAGGAACCCACCTTTACAGTGCACGGCAATGGCACCCTCGGCATTCTCACAAATATCCAGAAACTCTTTGACAATGGCATCGGTCGGGGTGCTGCCGTCCGCAAAGAAAAGATCGTGGTGATCAAACCCAGCATCCGTGAAGCGCTTGGCATCATACATCCTTTTATTCAGACGAATAATGGTAGTGACATTGTGAGTCTTAAAATATGGAATGTAAGTCTCAGGAGAATGTTGGTGATAACCTACATAAAGAAATGCACCAGATCTTGTGAAAGGCAGGAAGAAAACCATGAACAGTAGTTTCACCTGTAACATTCACACACGCACACTGGGAACAGTATCTGGACTGGGGAGTGAATACCAATTGGATTCTAACTGTAAAAAACAGAATAAAACGAGTTAAAATCCAGGTGGAATGATGAATTCAAATGACCAAGTGTGTATGGATAATAAAAACTCAGTCAAGCTGAGTTTAACTCTCTGGTCTTCTTCAAAGGAAAACAAAGAAGGGACATTTATATCCACTGGCCCCACAGGACGGCATACCACTTTCAAGTCTGGATCTTGCGTGAGGTCCACAGAAGGCAACGAAGCGGTCTGGTATTATCCAGTTTAAATCTCCATTTTCTGCTCTCTGCAAAGGGAAGAGCAGCACAGTTCACTTGTGGGCTCTCTCTCCTCCCACCTCCCTTCTCACTAGGGCGACATCCAGGGAGGACACCAGCTGGTGTTCCAGCGTTTGGCTTACCTAGATAGAGAAAACATGTTTTATTGTAAATGTTCAATTTTATAGGGACAGGCACAGAAAGGAAGTGCATGACTCCAATACACTCTACAGAGTCTCGGGTGAGTTATTGTTATAGAGACGTAAAGATAAGTTAAACTCGGTGAGTCCTAAAATGTGCTTTTTACATCTTTGGTACACCACTGCAAGAACTATCATTATTAACCTAATGCATCAATTGCAAACCTCTTATTCTTAAGGATTCCATATGACCGCATGAAATGCTGCCAGAGAAACCACCTCTCCATTATCTGAGGGTTTGAGGCTCAAAATAACCATGGTAGGAGTAACCCCAGCAGCTGGGGAGGCTGAGACAGGAGGAGCCAGAGTCCAAAGCCAGCCTCAGCAACCTAGCGAGGCCCTAAGCAACTCTGTGAGGCCACATCTCTAAATATAAGGTATGAAAAGGGCTGGGGTGTGGGTCGAGGTTAGACACCCCTGGGTTCCACCCGGTACCAAAAACATGAACCAGAATCTCTAAGTGCTTCCACCTGAAGGAGGCCTCAGCACGCACCTTTCCCATTACCACAAAGAGAAAGGAGCCTTAAAAACCAAACTACTTATTTATTCCCTCCCCGCCCCAGTACTAGGGATTGAACCCAGGGATGCTTACCACTGAGCCAGGTCCTGTTGAGAGCCACAGCCTAAGGGGCCCCAGCAAACTTCCAGCTGATTGGCTCACCATGGCCCCAGCAAACTTCCAGCTGCCAGCTGATTGGCTCCCCTGCAGTGATGCTCATTGGGTTGTTTCCCCGCCCTTTCAGACCACGGAGCTGCTCAATGGGGGACTCTTTTGGCTCCGCCCACGCAACCCAGCCAATCAGCCTCAAGAGCGGGAGGAGTTGGGGTTGGGTGGGTGAGAGGCTTGCCAGAAGCTGGTGGTGGCAGTTGGGCTCTGAGGGATTTCCTGAAAAGCTCGTGTGATGCGGAGTGTGTGTTCTAAAAATAAAGTTCCTTTCTGCTTGATAAGTGGCTGGTGAATTGTGCCCAGCCAGACTGCGGCATTTTGCTGGGCCGCTGTGAGCCAATCAGCTGGAAGTTTGCTGGAGCCCCTTCAGCTGTGGCTCTCAACCATGTCCCTAGCCCTTATGTTTTGAGACAGGGTCTCACTAAGTTGCTGAGGCTGGCCTCAAACTTGTGGTCCTCCTGCCTTAGTCTCCCGAGTCACTGGAATTGTAGGCGTGTGCCAATACACCAGGC